GGGGACGGCCCTGAGGGGCGGCGCGGGGAGCGACGTGATAACCTCTTTCAGCGAGAAGGGAGAAAAGGAATCGAAAGGAAAACGCGGCGTGGGGGCGGTGGGAAAGGGAAACGAACAATTACCGCACTCCCCTCTGCACTCCTGCCCCTACCCGCACGTCCCCCTGTCGCGCCGAAAAATAAAACAGCCCGGCATGGCAACACAGAATTCCCTCAGAGCGCAGAAGCGAAGCCGAAAGGCTCGATGGGAGCGCGGTGGGGACAACAGAAAAAAAAAAAAATCTTAAAAAAAAATACTGCGGTAGGGCGTGATGGTGAAAATAAAGGAGTACGATTTAGGGGTCTGGTAGCTCTCCGGGTCAAAGGAGCTGTCCAGCGTCCAGTGCGAGCCGCCTGCTGCCAGTTTCCTGAGTGCCCAGAGGTGGCCACTTTTGCCCCCGCTTTCCTTCCAACTATTGCTAAGCCAAGATCACACCATGCAGCTCAGATTCAGTCATCAGCACTTATCAAATATCCCTGTCACAACCTTCCACCGGGCAGAAAACCAGTTTAACATGTTTTATGTTCATACTGTCACTTATGTCCACCTGGGTCGTGCAAGTCGAGAGGGGAGGAAGAGGCCAAGAGTCACTTGAGAGGCCACACAGGCTCAGATAACACCTGTAATTTTTACTGTCTTCCACTGCCAGCTCATCTGGGAAAGCCCGGGAGTGTCATCAAGGCTGAGGCAAGTAATTCCCTGCCAATTTGTGGCACACACACTGGATGATAATGAATATGAGGAGACAATACTTCTCAAAGTAATTTTAAATCTGTGATGCTAAATATCACCCCCCCCCCCCCTTTCAGGCCTCACCATAATCTATCTGAGATATGCTGGTTGGGCCTTGGCCTTGACAAACCCTACCTGGGCTGAGCTGCTCTGGAGCTTCTCAGAAACACTGTGTGCTCCCATGAACTGCTATGTTTTAATGTGCTTCTGGTGTTGTTGTTGAATAGACTTTGAAATTTGTTTTTGCCCAAATGGCATCACATTCTAATTCTCACACTTTGAAAGAGAAAGCTGCCGATGGAAAGTTGGGGCCAGGATGAAAGCTTGTTGTGATAAAGGCCACCTCTTGGGGCACTCTAAGCAGGGGTGCCCAAGGAGCCCCTTGGAGGTGTGCGGGGCCACAGCAGCCATGAGCAGCAAAGTCCCTGTGAGTGGGGCCTCTGCCAGCCGGGAGCTCTCCTGTTTGCTGCACTCAGGGCATCCCTGCAGATGGAACAATCTCACTGAAACTCCCCTAAAACTGCTCCGGTGGGGACCCTGTGGGGACAAGAATGTCGCTGGGGACCCCCAACACCCACATACCCCCCATCCACTCTGATGGGGATCTTGCAGGGACAGGAGTGTCACCAGGACAACCCAGACACCCACCCACCCCTCCTTCCACCTGGAAGGTGGTTGTAATCAGCTGGGGGCTGGTGTCTTCTCCCAGGCAAACACTGACAGAAGGAGAGGACACAGTCTTAAACTGTGCCAGGGGAAGTTTAAGCTGGACATTAGGAAAAAATTCTTTACTGAGTGATTGGGCATTGGCAGGGGGTACCCAGGGGGGTGGTAGAGTCACCGCACCTGGAGGTGTATAAAAAAAGACTGGATGTGGCACTCAGTGCCAGGGTTTAGTTGATAAGGTGGTGTTGGGTTACAGGTTGGACTTGATGATCCCAAAGGTCTTTTCCAACCCAGTTAGTTCTATGATTCTGTGAACTTTGGTGCTACTGCGACTTTTCCTCTCCCGGAGGAGCCTCTTCCACAACAGCCCCTGGAGGAGGGAACACAGACAGCTCTGTGTCACCCCCGAGGCCCTTGGAGGGGGTGGGATCAGGGGTAGGGGGTGCCCACCTTGAGACTGATGAACTGGGAGGTTAGGGGGCAGTCTCTTTTTAGGGCTTCTCGCAGCCCCCCAGAAGGTCCTCCCATCTCGGCCTGGGAGGGACCAGAGTCAGCACACACAGTACTCCCAGACCACCCCTCTTTCCCTGGGAAACATCCCCCAAAGGTGCCAGATCCTACTGGTATCTGGTGCAGCCAAGCTTTGGGTAGGCAAAGGGGAGCTCAGGGGGGCAAAGGAGAAGGGACAGAGGGGTTTATCCTGCTCCTGGTTCAGTGCCCAGTGCTAATGCCCAGTGCCAGTGTCCAGCCTCAGTGGCCATCCCTGCTGTCCAGTCCAACTGTCCAGGGCCCAGTGTCAATGCCCAGTACTGGTGGCCAGTCCCACTGCCCAGCCTCAGTGTCCAGCCCCACTCCTCAGCCCAGTCCCAGTTCCCAGCCTCATTTCCCAGGCCTGGAACCATGATGCCACTGATCTAGGACAGTCCCCACCCCAGTCCCAGATGGATGCCAGCCCTGCTGCCAGCCCCAATACCACCTGTGTGCAGATGTGTGCCAGTGTCATCCCCCACCCTGGGGGGCACAGGACAGCCACCAGTGGGTTCCTGGGCCAGGCAAAGCCACACCGATCCTGGAGGAAGCTGAGGGTTTTACCCAGGGATCAGCTGGTGCAGCAGCAAGAAGGAAGCAGTGATGGGGACAGTGATGGGGATGGTGGGAGTGACAGAACAAGGCAGCCATGCACAGCCTGGTGTGGGGCCTGGGGCATGGTGTGAAGTATGGTGTGGGACACAGCACAGGACACATGGCACAGGGCATGCTGTGGGTAGGAACATGACCCAGGACCACGGCACGGGACACAGGACATGACACAGGACATGGAACATGGCTGGAGAGCACAGGGACATGGGAATGACCGTGGAGCATGGCATGGGACATAGGACATGGGACATGGCATGGGACATGACCATGGAGGACAACACAGGGTTCAGTCAGTCCCAGCATCATCACCCCAAACCTCCTCCCACCAACCCCACTGGGACACCCACCCCAAGGCCTGTGGACACCAGTGTCCCCTGGAAGCTGGGCCAGCTCTGGATCTCCTGGAAGAGGGTGTTGCCAGGGCACTTGATGGGGCTGAGCTGGCCACACAGGATGAAGTCTGGCTGGACGCAGCCAGAGGCTGGAGCTCATCCTGCATCAGGGCCAGAGTGTTGGGGTCCGGCAGTGTGGCCAAGAAGTCCTGGAAGATGCCAGTGCTGAAGCCCTTGGTATTGTAGTCCTTGGTGTGGGCACCGACCCAGTGCCACCCCCGACCCTCGTACAGGTACCCATCCGAGCCCACCACGAAGCTACAAGTGGGGACCCAGTGGTGGGAACCATGGGGGAATAGTGGTGGGGACTGCAAAAGGACAGGGATGGGGACCATGGGGGGCAAAAGGGAGGCAAAAGGGACCACAGAGAGTGATAGGGACCATGGTGAGACAGTGATAGGGACAGTAGGGGGGACAATGGTGTTGACTTACAAGGGGAAAGTGATGGGGACCTTGGAGGGCAACAGGTCCTTCAGGTGGTGACAGGGCCCACCAGGGTACAATGACAGCTCCCTTGGGGATGCCAACTCCCTCAGAGGGTGCCAGCTCCCGACAGCCAATGTTGTCCCAACTGTGGGTATCCTGGTGGAAGCTCTGCATGTCCCTCATGGCATGGGAACAGGCGCAGCAGCTCTAGCATGGCTCTAGAGTGTGGTGCAGGAACATGGAGCCCAGCAGGAGCCACAGCAATTACAGGGTGCCCCAGCAGGGACCAGCCCCCACATGCAGTGGGACAAGGGGCTCCACGTATCCCTTAAGCCCTTAGGAACACGTCAGAGTCCACGTGGGGACCAGGGGCTCAGCGGGTCCTTGGACACACGGCAGAGTCCGTGCGGAGACAAGGAGCTTGATAGGTCTTTGGGGACACATGAGAACATCTGAGGGCCCCTCAGCCTGGGTGTGGGAGGGTTCTCCTGGGAGTTACTGAGGAGATGGGAAGGGGCTACTCAGAATGTCCACTGGCGGGGACATGAGGGGGCCAGTGTCCAAGGGACACAACAGTGTTGGTCATGGGGACATGGTGGTGGCCACCTAGGGACACCCACTCAGGGACCACCACCCAGGGGAGAGAGTTGTGTCCATACAGAGGACACGGTGGTGGTCATCAAGGAAAAACCGTGGTGTCCACCCAGGCAGCATAGTGGTGGCCATCCACAGGACATGGTGGTGCCCACCGAGGGGACAAAATGGTGCCCACCCAGGAGACCCGAAGATGTCCCACCACACCAAGCCACCTGTCCCTATCATCATCTCTCAGTGCCCACCCACGAGAGTGACCCCACCCCACTCACCCGGGGTCCCCTCTCACTCCTTCCCACCCCATTTGTGCAGTGACAACCCCCATTTGTGTGGTGACAAGCCCCCTTTGTGTGGTAACAACTCCTGTTTAGGGGGTTATAACCCCCACTTGTGTGGTGACAACCCCATTTAGGGTTGTCACCTAAACATCCCCTGCCCATACCCACATAGCACTCATTTAACTCCTGTGACACCCAACAAGCCAAGACCTCCACCTGCTGTGTCCTCACATCCCTAAGGGGCTGCCAGGTGTGTGACAGCACCCACAGCATCCCCAAAACCTTCTTTTGCCTCCTTCTCTCGCTGTCCTGGCCACACCAGCACCCCAAAATTCCGGTGCCCTAACTGCTGGGGGCGGGGGGGGGTGGCGGTACCTTAACGTCAGAAGAGGAAGACAAAATTATTCCCAAAGTCTGGCACCATAATAGGAAAGCTGAAGATTGGACCCATTAAGATAGAAACAAGTAATCCAATTGTTTCCATAAGAGTAAGAGTATTAGAAGCTTTGAGGGGTCCATCAGAGATAGCTGTTGTCCCTATAAGAGGACCCCAGAGGGGAACAGATTATTGGACTCATGGGAATAATTTGGCTGATGCAGAAGCACAAAGGGCAGCAAAAATGAAAATGATACAAAGTATCAAAAATTCTATATCTCAAAGGAAATACAAGAGATGGAGAAACTAGGGGCTAAGCTAGAAGAGGATAAGTGGCTTTTACCAGATGGTAGAGAAATGCTATCTAAAAGTCATGTTAGAAGAATAATTCACCAGTTGCACTAATGAACTCATTGGGGAACACGAGCACTACATGACCACTTTTTAAAGTTTTTAGGGTGTCTAAGAATATTTGATATAGCAAAACAGAAGACAGAAGGATGCATTATTTGCCAGAAAATTACCAAGAAGACATCTAGACAGACCCCACAGGGAGGCAGAAAAACTGCATATAGGCCTTTTGAAAAGATACAAGTGGATTTTACCAAATTACTGAAAGCAGGAAGAGATAAGTATTTGTTAGTAATAGTAGACCAATTAATTCATTGGATAGAGACCTACCCTGTGACACAAACAACAGCACATTTTGTTACAAAGATTAGTTTAGAAGAAATAATTCCACGATTTGGGATGATTGGAGTGATTGATTCAGATCAGGGTTCCCACTTTACCTCAAAAGTGTTAAAAGAAGTAATGAAAGCTCTAGGGGTCTCTTGGGAATAATATACCCCTTGGCAACCTCACAGTTTGGGGAGAATAGAAAGAATGAACCAGGCCCTAAAGCATCAGCTAGCAAAACTAATGATTGAAACAAAACTATCTGGGATTAAGTGCTTACCATTGGCATTGTTAAATATTCGAACAATGCTGAACTCAGAGCATGGGATCTCCCCGTGTAAGGCATTATACGGGATGCCATATTCTCAAGAGATGCTGGGAGATAAAATAACCTGTACTGATCAGGATTGTAATTGCTATCCTTTGGAAGCACTGAATGAAACTATTGTAAGGAGAGGTGGTATTATCATTGTCACAGGGGTTATCCTCCAAGTGGATTGTGTCCAGAGTGTAAACACATTGAACAGATTTTAACTGAATATATTGTTAAAAAAAAGAGAATAGAGGAAGGAACATTAGAACTAGATTATTATGAGTGGCGAATGTTGTGGAAATACGGATTAAAAGGGGGACAATCAAGTTAGGCAAATAATAAAAAGATTGAGCATCTCAAACGTAATCGAGTGCCTTGCGGATCTGAGCCAGTCAAAGCAAAGAACTGGGAACTATTTAAGAAATGGCATGAAACCCAGGAAAGCTCATACAGAACCCATGAAGAATATCCTTGCTGCCGAGAAGATGATACCCCTCACAGTAGGCAGAGAAGGAAGAGGGATAATAAAACTGTGGGGCCTTCTGCTACTGCTGAGTCTTCCACAGAATGGGATAACCAGTCCCTGCTTGAAGGGCTACCAAAATGTAAAGTATGGCCGGACCACAGCCTGAGCGTTTGCACCAAACACTCATATTAATGCATGATGTTATGAGCCAGGAAAACTTGAAACCTGTACAATAGGAGAAAAGAGTTACTGGGTAGCAACAAATTCAGGAATGGGAGGATGGGCACCTCGAAACTACCAATTTTGTCCCTGAGGAGAACCATTCCTCTGTTTTACCAAAGGTGGAATGTGGGGATACTCAGATAAATGGGGGGGGGTACAAATTCAAGGAAGAATTAGTAAAAAAAGTCACAAAGAATTTAGGGGAAATTCAAACCAAAAAAGAACAAGAGCAGGAAGTGACCTGTATAAAAAAATACAGAAAAGATCCAGTGACTGGGACCTCCCTATGTTAGGAAAAAAAATGTGTATTAATCTGATGCAAAAAGTAGTTAAGGAATTAAATGTGACTAACTATTGAGTTTATGGGGATCCTAAATGACCGAGCAATGGCATAGAGAGGAGAAGGGGTTGGACCTGATCAGTTTATATTATGGAACAGGACACAAAGATTTAATGAAATTCAACCTGACGGGTAAACATTGAGTCACGAAGTAGTAGATCGAATTTGTATTTCTAGGAAAGGAAACAATTTTATTACAAACATAGTACAAACCCACTGCAAGATAATATATACCACCGACTCCACTTTTACAACATGGTGGCCGAAACCACCAACAGGTTATTGGTCTATCAACTGTACCAAGGGTACTGTTTTCTGGAAAAGTGTAACACATGCTAATCCTTTTGACGAGGTAAAAGATCTTAGGGGATATTGGGAAAATCTGCGTAAGATGGCTGAAAATTGGACAGCTTCAGATGGATTATTTTGGATCACTGGAAAAAGGGCATATAATGAATATCAAAGAGATGGAGAGGTACCTGTACAATTGGAATTATACAACCTGCATTCTTTTTGCTACCAAAGAGCAAAGGTGAATGTTCAGGACCACCTCTTTATGAAACTCTGCGCAGAAGAAAACAAACTGAAATAGGAGGAAAACAGACCTGGAAAAATGAAGAATGGACTTCCCAACAGATCACAGATTACTTCAATCCTGCCTCCTGAGCTCAGGACTGCAGCTGGGGTTATAGAATCCCTATGTATATGCTTAACCGAATCATTAGATTACAGGCCACTGTAGAAATTGCTTCTAATCAAACATCAGAGGCACTGAAGCTTGTAGCTAGACAACTAACCCAGACCAGAGTGGCAGTATATCAGAATAGGCTAGTCCTAGATTATTTATTAGCTGAAGAAGGGCATTTTGTGGAAAATTTAGTACGTCGGAGTGCTGTTTAGAGACTGATGATAATGGAGAAGCTATTACAAATTTGACAGGCGAAATTAAACAAGCTGAACATGTTCCAGTACAAAAATGGAATTCCATATTAACTGACAACTAATAATAATGGAATAATTTGTTTGAAGGAGCCTGGTGGAAAAATGAGGGTTCATGTTGCTTTGTTCTGCATTAGGTGTATTGTTTATACCATGTATGGTTCCATGCTTTATTAGGCTAATATACTCAGTGATCCAGGGAATGCAGATTTCAGCAACACCCATAAACCCTAAAATAACAACCACGGGAGAAGAAACTCACTCCCTTGTGATACTCAAGGCAAAGCAGAACCGAAAAACTGCAACCCAAAAAGTATTAGCTCAGTTTGAAGCAAAGACATGAATCAATAACATAAAGGGGAAGGATTGTGAAAAATGTTTTTGTGATTTGTGTCAATTGGCAATGGAATCAGCAAATACTTCTATCTGCTGTGTCCAAAATAGACACAAAGAAAAGCTGTGAAACTTTCTGACCAAATAGCCAAATAAAACATCAAAATCAAAGTAGTATAGTAGAGTAAAAGAGATGAGGTAGCAAGACGACTGATGCTTAGAATAAAATGGAGGAAGTTGGGGTAAAGCTAAGAGATATTGCAACAAAGCAATTAAATAGTTATGTATAATAAAAAGTTTGATGCACTTGACAAAATCATGTAGCAGACACTAGTGTAAGGCCTCCCTCCAGATGAACACAAGAAGGATAGGAATCAACGACCACCTGGAAAGATTATGAAATTCCTGATCCTAGCTTATTGTTATTTGCTGATTTGGACTAACCAAGCACATTAGAAAATGCTTTGTCGGTTTAAAAACAGTACATATACTTTACCAAACTTGTAAGTGGTGTGTGCCATGAGTGGAGCAGCGACTCCCCGGCCACCCAGCGCTGCTTGCTTGCTTGCTTTAAAATAAAAGGTATAGAAGTAAAATTCGGATTGGCTATTGAAATTTTATATCAATTCAAACGTGGCTCCCAGGTGTTCCAGGGTGCCCTTTCTCCAGCATCCCTGCACTCCAGGCACTCAGCGCTTCCCCTGCTCCCCGACAATACTTTCAGGGTCGGGGAGCCCTGCCCCACTCATCTCCCGGCTCCACCACCCATCCAGCCAGCCTGCCGGAGCTCCCCCGGCTCTGCTATCGCCCCTCTCCCCACGCCGGGGCTCCCCCCTTTCATCCCCCGGCTCTCCCGGGGATCCCCAAAACCCGTGTCGTGTCCCGCCCCGCCGGCACCGGGCGATCGCCACGTGGCCCCCGCAAAATCCCCCCAGGGCCATTTACGGCTCAGCTCTGCACTCCTGCGAGATCCAAAAATATCTCCTCATCAAATAAATACAAAATACCTCTCCCAGCGACACCGAAATATATTTGGGACTCGACTCCGGAATCGGCAGGGCCTAAACCACAGCAAAATCCCCTTCTCCCCGCCAAAAAAACCCTCTCGGAGCTGCCGCGATCGACTCGGGATGAGCTTTCCCTCGGCGCTCACCTGCGGGACGCGGGGCAATGCGATGCTGCCGGGCCCAGCCGAGCTGCGGGCTCGCCGTGGAACCCCGCAACGCTCCTTCCACTGCTGCCGCTCCCGCTCCCGCTCCCGCTCGGCCTGCTCCCCTTCGTGCTCCTCCTGTTCCAGTTCCTGCTCCTCCCCTTCCCGTCTCCCTCCCCTTCCTCCCGCTCCTCCTCCGCTCCCGCCCCGGACCCTCCTTTCGCATCGCCTCTGTCCCACGGCCGCAGCAGCAGTGGCTCTGGGGCAGGGGGAGAAACCCCCAGGAGCCCTCAGCGATGGGCGGGGGCTCGGCTCCTCGGTGATCCGTGATCACTAGGACCACGGATCACAGAGTCTCTGTCCAATGAGAGTCACTGTGAGTTATCCAGCGCGGATCCTCCCATGGGAGACAGAGCTGGAGCTCAAAGAGCACGAAGCTCTTCCCGCACCGGGGGCACCGGCAGGGATTCCCTTGGTGCTGCCTCCCTTGGCGTCGGGTCCCGGTGGAGTTCTGGGAGAAGCGCTTCCCACACTCAGGACGGTGTCAGGGCCTCTCCTCAATTCCAGGCAGAGGAATTCCAGAGGAACTCTGACCGATTTCCCTAGCGGTGACTCCGCAGTTCCCGGGCAGAGCCGCAGCGCCCAGCGCTCCCCACTTCCACCCCACCTGCGCCACCGCTCGTACCTAGCGAGCCCCGGGAGCGGAATTTTAGCTCGGGGGGAGGGGGACGGGACGGGCGGATCTGCACTGGGGAGTCCCCGAGGCCCCTGCCCAACGCTGGGAGCTCTGGGTATTCCTCCCCCTGCCCCAGTGCCACTGCTGCTGCGGCCGTGGGACAGAGGCGATGCGAAAGGAGGGTCCGGGGCGGGAGCGGAGGAGGAGCGGGAGGAAGGGGAGGGAGACGGGAAGGGGAGGAGCAGGAACTGGAACTGGAACAGGAGGAGCACGAAGGGGAGCAGGCCGAGCGGGAGCGGGAGCGGCAGCAGTGGAAGGAGCGTTGCGGGGTTCCACGGCGAGCCCGCAGCTCGGCTGGGCCCGGCAGCATCGCATTGCCCCGCGTCCCGCAGGTGAGCGCCGAGGGAAAGCTCATCCCGAGTCGATCGCGGCAGCTCCGAGAGGGTTTTTTTGGCGGGGAGAAGGGGATTTTGCTGTGGTTTAGGCCCTGCCGATTCCGGAGTCGAGTCCCAAATATATTTCGGTGTCGCTGGGAGAGGTATTTTGTATTTATTTGATGAGGAGATATTTTTGGATCTCGCAGGAGTGCAGAGCTGAGCCGTAAATGGCCCTGGGGGGATTTTGCGGGGGCCACGTGGCGATCGCCCGGTGCCGGCGGGGCGGGACACGACACGGGTTTTGGGGATCCCCGGGAGAGCCGGGGGATGAAAGGGGGGAGCCCCGGCGTGGGGAGAGGGGCGATAGCAGAGCCGGGGGAGCTCCGGCAGGCTGGCTGGATGGGTGGTGGAGCCGGGAGATGAGTGGGGCAGGGCTCCCCGACCCTGAAAGTATTGTCGGGGAGCAGGGGAAGCGCTGAGTGCCTGGAGTGCAGGGATGCTGGAGAAAGGGCACCCTGGAACACCTGGGAGCCACGTTCGAATGAGGAGAGGATGAGCCCTGACATCCCCAAAAGACCCTCAGCATGCCTGAGTAGGACCCGGGAGAGGGGGGATGCCCAGGACCCATGGGCCCCCAGCAGCTCTGAGAAGAGGGACCCTCAAACCCCAAAATAAGGACACTGGGAACAGGGAACGCCTGGGAGAGGTTTTTTTTGTCTCCTTCTTGATTTTTGGAAGTTTTTCTGGCCACCAGACATTCAGTGACTTCTAGAAATGGACTTGGGTAGCAGGACCTTCAACGCCCACGCCAATTTCCTGGTTTAGGGCAATTTTGGGAGAAAAACCTCTAAAGATGTTTCCTCTAGAAGAGCAAAATCAAGCGGCCCCTCTCTCATTTGGTTCTGGAAAAAGATTTCCTTAGAGAGAAGTGGAAAAACTGTTTCTTTAACAGGCAAAGCACTCACCAGCCCCAAAAATGAACAATATTCAGCAATACAACCTCTTGCTGCTCCAAAAGAGATGACAAACTCACGAAGCCCCTCCGTGGGCTGTAGTTTGGCTTGCTCAGTCTGGTGCTGGAAATGCCATGGCCCAGCCCCAGTGGGGCACAGGTGTGAGCACCTGGTACTCTTCTGGGTGTTCAGTCCAGAGCAGGTTTAGACAGGTCCAAAGAAAAGGAAAACCAAAAACCACAGTCGAGGGAACTTCTCTGCCTCAGCGAGCTCAAACTAACCAAAAGCAAAGGAGGGCTCTGTCCCGCTGTCTGTCCATCTGCAGACAACAGAAGAGCAGGAATGTGGAGGAGTGAAAGGGGTTCTGAAAACAAACTCCGTGCTTCTTCTTCCTCCCTCTTTGTTCTCGGAACCAGTGTTATAAAGGTGCAAAATTTATTTCAGACAAATGGGGATATGAGCATCATAAATTCATCCCTGGGACCCTCAAAAGACCATCAGCCTGTGTAAGCAGAACCCAGGGGAGGGGGAATGCCCAGGACCCACAGCCCCCCAGCAGCTCTGAGAAGAGGGACCCCCCATAACCCCAAAGTGAGGACACTGGAAACAGGGAACTCTTGGGAGAGGTTTCTGGATTTCTTGCTTTTTGAAGGTATTTCTGGCCACCAGACACCCGGTGACTTCTAGAGATGGACTTGGCCAGTGGGACCTCTGAAGGCAATGCACTCACATCTTGTTTTTCCCCCAAATCAGGATTTCCCATTTCCAGACCTTATCTGGATAGAGGAGAAGTCCGCAAGGAAGAGGAAGATGCCTTGGGACAGCCTGGCAGGTGAGGAGGAAGTCAGTGCCCCTTTCCCCCTCTCTCCTGCTCCATCTCCCAGCCCAGCATGGCCCCAGCTGCAGCACAGCCCTGGGGGGATCTCCTTGCCCTTGCCTGTGGCACAGAGGCAAATCCCATCCTGTCCTTGTCCTTCTTCCCCCAGAGCAGGAGCTGAGCATGGAGAGCAGGGAGGACAAATGCCCGTGGCAGGACCTGGTGGCAGAGGCTGTTTTGAGTGGCTCCACGGCACAGGAAGCCAACAGGGAGGAAAAGCCCCAGAGATGCTGCACGAGGAGGGGCTGCAAATGCAGCCCAGGATGCTCTGAGGTGGAAAGACCCAGCCTGTGCCTGGAAGGCAGCCAGAGCTCTGAAGTGGTGGTCAATGAGCAGCTTGATGATGGCAAGAAGCCCCACCAGTGCTTGGAATGTGGGAAGAGTTTCCGCAGGAGCTACAACCTGCTCCTCCACCAGAGGATGCATACCGGGGAACGGCCCCACAAGTGTGGGGAATGTGGGAAGAGCTTCAGGATCAGCTCCCACCTGTACCGCCACCAGAAGATCCACACTGGAGAAAGGCCCTATGAGTGTGGGAAATGTGGGAAGAGCTTCAGAGACACCTCTGACCTGATGGTCCACCAGAGGATTCACACTGGGGAACGACCCTATGAGTGTGGGGAGTGTGGACAGAGCTTCAACGTCAGCTCCCACCTGATTGCCCACCAGCGGATCCACACCGGGGAACGGCCCCACAAGTGTGGGGAATGTGGGAAGAGCTTCAGGAGCAGCTCCAGCCTGAAACTCCACCAGAGGATGCACGCTGATGAACGGCCCTATAAATGTGGAGAATGTGGGAAAGGCTTCAGGAAGAGCTGCCATCTGAACCGCCACCAGATGATCCACACTGGGATACGACCCTTTGTGTGTGGGGAATGTGGGAAGGGCTTCCGTGACAGCTCTGACCTGATCATCCACCAGACAATGCACACTGGGGAATGCCCCTACACGTGCTCAGAATGTGGGAAATGCTTCAACCAGAACTCCAGCCTGATTGCGCACCAGAGGATCCACACTGGGGAGAGGCCCTATGAGTGTTCTGAGTGCGGGGAGAGGTTTCAGAGTCGATACCGTCTCTTCAAGCATCAGCAGATTCACACAGAATAGAGACCCTTTTGCTGCCCTGACTGCAGGAAGGGCTTTCAGAAAAACTCCACCCTCCTCACCCACTGGCGGATCCACACGGGGGAGAGGCCCTGACAGTGTCTCAAGTGTGGGAAGAGCTTCTCCCAGAACTCTGCTGTGACCCAACACCAAGGGAGGCAGCAGTAGGGGATGCCCTACAAGTGCCCTGTGTGCAGAAAGAGCTTTGAGTGCTGCTTCAACTCCATCCGCTATTGGAGGACCACCATTGGATGGTCCACAGTGACCCTCACTGTGCAGAGACTTGGTCATCCATGGTCCTGGTGATCCATGTTGGGAAGACACCTGGCAGGTGGTCTCCACATCTTCCTGGCTCCCCTTGAGCACTTCAATGCAGCCAGAGAAAAATCCATTGGGATGCAAACTGACATCAGAATTTCATAGGGGACAGCACAGTTTTTTACTTTCGACCCAAAAAAGTCTCGCCTTTTGCATCCTATCATTTCTTTGAGTGGCATCAAGGAATACTGGATTGTGTTGGAGGTCTTTTCCAACCTGAATCATTCCATGATTCTAATTCTCTCTGGCCCACCAGCATCTTCCACAGCCAAATGGTGATGGACTGGGGCAAAATACCCAGGATTTTGCAGGCAGTGGAGTGGAAATCCCTCTAGAAAAGGTCCTTTCTACCCGCCCAGGTGCACAGATACTCAGCAGCATGGACACGTAAATCCTTTTATTTTGGCTTTGATTTTCCTTCATTTTTCTTCATCCCTTCACCCAAACATTGGGGTAAAATAAAGACATTCAACTAAGACATGGATAGTGACATTGGGGGACATGGTAGGGATGGGGACAGGGACAAGGACATGGGTGCGGACATGGCTGTGGATGGCGATATAGGGCATGGGAGGCGGTGTCACCAGAGATGGTGACATGGGGCTCTATGGCCGTGGATGAGGACATGGGGGACATGGCCATGGATGGCAACACAAGTGGCCTAGAGGACAAGTCCATGGGTTGACATGTCCATGTGATGGAGTGTCCCACGGCCAAGGACAACACATCCC